GGGCGGGCCGGGGCGAGGCCGGCTGTGGGCAGCGCCAGTCCTCCAGGTGCTGCGGCAGCTCCGCGTGGCCAGGCGGCCCACGGGTTGGCGCAGACAGAGCTCAGCCGTCAGCTTCCGTGAGCCTAGGCCGGCCCTTCGGCTCCGCGAGGTCATGGCGGGGCCGGGCCCAAGCCCAGGGGACCCGGACGAACAGTACGATTTCCTGTTCAAGTTGGTGCTGGTAGGAGATGCGAGCGTGGGCAAGACGTGTGTGGTGCAGCGCTTCAAGACAGGCTCTTTCTCTGAGCGCCAGGGCAGCACCATCGGCGTCGACTTTACTATGAAGACGTTGGAGATCCAGGGCAAACGAGTCAAGGTGGGAGGCCCGGCCCAGGCGGGCTGGCCCAGGGGTCGCGAGCCCGGGTGGCGCCTCGGCATTCTTGGGCTGCTTCGTGGCCCGGGCACCGACGGTTTCCCGGAAGGTTCGCCCTCCGCAGGCGGGCGGGGGCGGGGTTAGTTGAGCCCCCGCCAGCAGTGAGCGACCTCCGGATTGTTCTGAGGTTTCTTGTAAATCCTTTGGCTTTACCTTTTTCTTCTTCCTCTCGGAGCAGGCCTGGGACTCGGAGTTTGGGCCAGCAAATCCAGTTTGACTCCGGTACGTCTCAAAGCACCGGCCGTTGGTTCTGTGTGAGGGGAGGCCCTGCGGAGCTCAAACGCTGCGGGTACTTTTTTCCGAAATAACTTCGCCCGTGGAAGGGAGCCTGTGAGATTTGAGTTCTGTAGCCGGCACGAACCGAGCCCTGACCCTCCTGACCGCTCCCCACCTCTCCCGGAACGCGGTGGAAGCCCCCAGCTTAGCCTGCTGGTGGGGAATCCAGCCAGAAAACTGCACCCCCGCTGACAAGGAGGGATCAGGAAGTAGTTGGTTCTAGGACCTGAGGGCCAAAACTTTTTGTCAGAATTTCCAGCTGGCCACGCCTCCCTGCAGTCTCTTTGTGGACCTGGTGGTGGAACTTAACTGAAGATGGGCCAGCCGTTGGTCCCTTCCCCAGCTGCACTGGAGTTAGATGGAAACTGAAAACTTACAGATATCGCAAGGTGGAGGAAAGGACCATCCATTGTTTTAGCAATGGCTCCGCGTACAAAAGCAGAATGTGGTTGCCTTGCTATATCCTGGTGATGGTTTGATAAATAATGTTTGTGATTAATGAATCAGCGTTTCTTAACGTAGTTGTTAGGACAGAGCATTGCTCTTCTTCATAGGCAGCACTTAAATACGGCAAACCTCATATTTTAATGGTTTTGAGTTCACGGGTCAAGTCTAACAGCACAGAGCCTGGCAGTACAGGGCAGATGTTACCTCCTTGTGTCACAGATAGGAGAAGCTCAGAAAGGTGTGGTCAGGAAGTAGAGCCAGGGCGGTTGGCTTCCGTTGAGCTCCTGACCAGAGTTTACCCAGACTAGCCTGCCTGCTCTGCCGCTCTTGGCTGCATGAGCCCTCGAAGTGTTGTTTTTGGCCAGGATACTTAGTTGGTTGTCTTTGTCTCAGTCAAATTGGGATCATTTACGGGTGTGGCTTCCCTCCTGCCCCACCATGGAGAAAAAAGTGAATCAACAGTCTTTTGCATGGCAACAAGTGCCTCCCTGAAGTAGATGTGGCACAGGAAGCAGAAACTCCTTGGGTTGAACAGTGTTTTATAGTCTGCTGTTTTCTCTGTGATTTTGGTCTCCTTGGACTAGAAGAAAGCAAGTTGCAGGCAGAATCTCTTGAATCGTTGTGGACCATCCCCTTGGAGCAGGTGTGTGGGAAGGACTGTGGTATGGAAGGAGTGTGTCCATGGAGGAGTTTGTGCTGTTTTGATGCTGCCAGCAGTGACGGGGGAGTGGAGTGTTGAGATAGAGTCATAAAGGAACAGCAGTGTCCTCACAAGCTGTCTGTGCACTACTCGGGTGTTGGTGGCAACCCACTGCTGACGGTGGTCAAGGAGGGGGCAGAGTGTTCCTGTTTACCTGTGCCCAGGGTATAATTGTGTTCTGAGCACATGTTATGCAATGCAGGGTAGGGCAGTTAGTTTCTTTCTCTATGGACACCTCCAGATTGTTTCTAAGAGGCAGCTGGTGGACTGGGAACAGAGAGGACCTGCAATGTAGGCATGCTCAGACTTAATTGTTAAAGTGGCTGCCCTTCTCCACAGTCTGTGTGTGCCAGCTGCTGTGCAGATGTGCCATCAGCCTCCTGAGGGTATCATTAACCCCAGTGTACATGGCTAGTAAGTGAAGAGTTGGGAAGTTTTCCTCTAGTTTTTTTTTTTTTTTTTTACTCCAAAGCATTGTGGTCTCTCTCCTACTCCAGACTGCTTCCTAGAATTGGGATTGCTTGAAGTGGGAAAGCCTCTGGTAGTTGAGTACCTCCTCCTTTTCAGTCAGGGAAACCTGAACCCCAGTGCCCTTAGTCACAGCTACCTGAATTAAAACTGAGCAGCATTGAGTAGGGAACTCTTGTCTTTTAAAGGGTCAGGATTTCTGGTGTCTACTGACTCAACAGAAGTATCAACTTTTCTCTCTATACAAGTTGGGTTTATTGAGATTTAATTTACACACAGTAAAACTCTACCCATTTTAAGTGTGCAGTTGTATGAATTTTAACAAATGTGTACAGTCATGTAATCACCACTGCAGATGGATATAGAACATTTTCATCAACCCAGAGAGTTCCTTTGTGTCCCTTTGTTCATAGTTAGTTCCCTTTCTTTATCCTGGCTTCTTGTAACCATTGATCTCTTTTCTGTGCTTTTACTTTCAGCAATGTGATTTTTTTTTTTTTTTTAATTATGATGAAAATACACAAAACAAAGCACATGCCATCTGAGCAATTTCTACATGTGTAATTCAGCAATGTGATTTTAATTGGAACCTTTAATGAACCAGATTTTGTTACTGGTTCTATAGAAAGCAAGTCCACATCATGGATTTAGTTGAAAACCTTTTCATGGCCCTTCTGGGTTCAGTAAGTATCTCTCTCTCTCTCTTAACCTTCCTCTCCTGTAATGTTTTACAGTAATGCTGGGTTTTGTTAGAACTTGAGGAACCTTAGAGACAAATCACCTAGTGGTTTTCCAGCTCTTCTGTGCTTTAGTGTTTGGGAGGCCATGAAGGCAGAGGGTTAGAAGGGTTTTAACTAGCTTCCTACCAGCCAGAGCAATACTACTTATATCTAGTTTTATATTGATTGTTTTTATTTGATTAAAGAATTCTGCTGCTAAAAAGTAAAACATGAAAATCAAAGATCTAATTAAACCGTTTTATTTCTATAGTAGCTTCCCATTGCACCAGAAAACTATCTGAAGTCCTTACCTTAAGAGATTGGCCCTATCTGCCTCTCCTTTGTGTCCCTCCACTCTGACCCTCATTCACTACTCTGTAGCCATACCAGCCTTTTCCACCCTTCCAACAAGCCAGGTTGATGCCTGCCTCAGAACTCTTTCATTTGTTCTCCTACTTCCTCATCCGGATGTCCCAACTCCAGTGCCTCTCTTTAGAGAGGCCTTCCCGGCCTCCCAGTCCCTCTGTCCCATTACTCATTACATTTTTTCATAGCACTTACCGTACTTGAAATTATATTGTTTGCTTGTCTCCCCTAGTAGAATGTAAGCACCTTAAAAGTGCCAAGGGTCTGTCGGCCTTGTGGACCTGTGAATCCCTATACCTAGAATAGTGTCAGACACATAGTCATCAACACATGTGTGTTGATTGGCTGATTTTTATTTACCAAGAGAAAGTTGAGGTTGAGATAAATGAAGTGACTGGCTAACTCAACTTCACACACAAGTCAGTGTCAAAATCAGGATTTGAACCTAAGGTCTGGCTGGCTCCTAAACCCAGGGCTCATTTTTATGCTGGATTACCTTTTGATTCCCTCTGAGTTCACAATGATGGATGACCCTGAGGTTCTGCAGCCTAGTGAAACTAGCAAAAATGTAGTTGTTGCCACTGTACCGAGAGAAGAATGTGGATTTGCATTTTACCAAGATTTTCATCACTAAGTGTTGAAACCCAATGTCAGTTAAGCAAAACATTTAGGTAGCTCTTATGCCCTGCTATTCTGGTTAATAAGACTTTGTACATGAAGCTCATCCCATGTGGATTCATTTTGGCTCAGGATGCATAGACTGAGCTTAGAAAGTGAGTCTGGGTGCTGTTAGTTTCTCCATTTGTGGAGTCTCTGAAAAAGAACACTACATTAGCAGTATGAAGATCTGCGTTTCACTTAAAACTCTGCCACAACCTTGGGTAATCCATTTTTCCTTTTTGGAGCCTCAGATTTCCTTATCTATGAAATGGGACTATTGAACTTTGTTCTGCCTATTTCATAGAGTTATTGGGACAATTATGGATATGCATAAATATTTCAAAATTTCCTTATTTTTTGAATAGATGATAAAATCACGTGGCTCAAAATTTAACAGATTTAAAAGGGCATACTGTAAAAAGTCTCCCTTCTGTCTTTGTCAGTAGTTCTTGGGTAGAACAGTTTAAGCATTTGACTACTGAAAATGTAGCTGAAAAGTTGGCGGTTTGAACCCATCCAGAGGTGCCTCAGAAGACAGGCCTGGTAGTGACCAAAAGGTCACTACCTTGAAAACCCTATGGTGCAGTTCTGCTCTGCACATTTGAATAGACTAAACACCAGCTAATGATAACAGCAAGCACCTTTGTCCCCCAGACCATCCAGTTCCTTCTTAGAGGCGATCAGTGTTACCCATTTATTGTTTATCCTGAAAGTGCTGTTGTAAATAGAACCCAGAAAATTACAATATAAGGAATTATTTTATTATTGCTATTGTTACCATAAACCTTTTTTTTAGATCAGACACATTATTTCTTAACCAACTCTTCCCCTGCCTCCCTTCCCATCTTGCTGTCCCCTAGGAAATCATAGCCAGTTCTAAATCCTTAAAGCATCCAGACTGGTCCTCTGTTCACTCTTATCTAGGACAACACAAAGGCCTGTTATGTAAACTTTGTTTTTGCAGATCACTAGGGACACAGACCTCAAGTACACGCACAGAGGTTAGCCTTGTAGAATTGTACCCCTTTTATTTGGCTGTATAACAGGTTCACTCTCCACTTGTTGGGGATGTTGCCAGATCTCTTCTTCACAGAAGTAAAGTTTATGCCCTTGGGCCTGGGCCTCTAGATTTCTGGACCTTTGGCCTTGGCAATCAAACTTCTCTTGGCCTTACAAGTCATCTTTGTTTTTTTAGCTGCTCCTGGTATTTCCAAAGAGGGGACAGGGGCAGGTAAGGGGAGATGGTTTTTTTAGAAGTTTGTATTCTTAGTCCTTCCAGTCAAGGATCTGGCTTTGCATGTTCTTTT